GCATTCAGACAAATCAAAGCATAATCGACGGATCGTTCACCACTATCAATCTTAACTAATATAATCAGGTGTGTTTGGTAGTCTATACCTCATGAGAAATTAAATTCTACACTAAAGTTTTCACTGAAGCGAATAGGCGACATATGAACAGTTTCACGAAAACGACACAGAAAGTATCCGGACACACAAAGTTGACAGTAGATACAATTCAGTTTGCTTTTGATTTTAAATATGGTGGAGAAGAGCCAGCTTAGTTCGATGGAATAACGGTAGGTAGATAGTACAGTAGCTAGTTAGTTGTGCCGCATTCACTGACATTGGTGACTTGAGAAAGCGGCTTTTACTCTTATTCTGAACATCTTGGAAATCAGAGTGAATATTCACAAACGTAGCTATAAGTTGTGTCAACACAAAAAAAGAAACACAGCCCTCTAAATTCACAAATATATTTCTTTAAATTTTTTCTATTTCTATACGTTCCTCAGTGGAATATAGGACTTCAAGCTAGAGACTTGAAGTTTCTGTAGCAATGGTGTTTATTTTTACGGGATGAAGTTGCTAGTTTCATGCTCAACCTTCCCTCCTTACCAGTATTACTACTGACGTAGCGAGTTAAAGGAGTGCGTCGGTGGCCAGGGATCGAACCCCGAACCACCTAAATGGTTGGCGAGCATCCTACCGTCGTAACACCGATGCAAGTATATGCACATGACCTTTATCTTCTGGCCTTTGTCCAATCTTAAGGCTTGTAAGTTTGCAGGAACTCAGGCAGTAGTAACAGTGGCGAAGAATACTGCAGGATCAACTGAACTTACAAATGCAAATTGATTTAGAATCACGGGGAAAATTCTATTTTCCTCTGAATGCAAGATTACTTTAAACTGGTTAATAAATTTTCATTGCCGCCACAAAGGAAGTGGTTCACAATCTGTTATGGAAATTACTCCATAGGAAGTAGTTTTGTTAGTCACACAGTGACCTTCATTATTATAACAGTTATTGCTTTTCAGAATGAAGGAAAAGTGAAACGCTGAAATTGCACTTATTAGTGTTATTAGCTTTGTAGAAGTGTTATCAAACCAGAATTTAAAAACCGCAGCTAAAATACTGCCTTTTTTCAGCAAGAGGTAATTTTCACGTTGTCAAGTGGATGATTTAATAAAGATAACAAAACTAGGTGTAGATTTTTGGATTTGTTAAGTGCATAAAATTAAAAGAGCAGCATGTCTCTACATAATGAACTTGCTTATCACATTCGTATTGATTTTGTTATTTCATAGGGGAGAGGGTGTTTTCATCTGAAATTTCTCTGGACGATTTCATTATAGTCGAAATCAGTTTTGTGGCTTAATTCTTTCGAATGTAAACCTATGGCTGATGATTTTTAAGCTTTTCTATTTCAGCTGGATCTCTCAGTGGTTGAACAGATGCTCTACAGTGTTCACGTCTTCTGATCTTGATTTCTCGCGATGTTTGTTCGAGGTATATGATATCACATTCCAAGCATTTTATTTTGTAGACACAGTTCGATTAGGAATCTTTAGGGATTTTTATCTTTTACATGGACAAAGTTTCTTTGTATTGGGTCTGATGCTTTGAAGAAAACTCTGATGTTGTGTTTGTTGAGTACTCTTCTCATATCGTCAGACAACATTTGAGGTCTATGCTGAAGAAGGATAATTAAACTGTTGTATTTAAGCTCAGATTTAGTAAATTATGGTTTAGTAATTCTCTGAGAAAGCTATTAGCATTAATTAGCGAAACGTTACTGCAAACAATATCGTTTTATTTTTCATTCATTAGGAAATAAAAACACTGTATTGATGAATACCATATACCCAATGCCCAAAATTTTTTCAAATTGTTAAGTGTGAACTTGGTTTTGAACAAATATATTGCAAAGACTTTGTTCACTGTAACCGTTCTTCTCGAATTAGTATCAAACAAATGATATTTAGCGTCGGTGGCTTTGCCAACCATGCACACGGTCTGGGTTCCGATCGCCATCCGACGCACTCGTAAACCTCGCTAAGCCGTTAGTATTGCTGATAAAGACAGAAGACTGGGTGGGAGGCTAGTAACCCCATCCTGTTAAAATAAAATCACTACCATTGAAAATTTCATGCTTTACCTTTAACTGCTATGCTCCAGTCTGAATGTTAGGGAATAAAATAAAATAAGATTAATAATAATATGGTATTTAACTGACGTTACACTACTCCCGGATGTGGAAAATTACTTTAAAATACAGGAAGAAATAGTGAAGTACATAAAGCAAGGCGAGAAATTCTGCAGATACACTGATGTCACTGCTAGCAATAAATTATGATCTTAATCTTTATTTATCGTCCTTAAGATCGAGATTCTTACTGAAGAATTACTTTACAATGTTGATACTGGTTTTTTTTAATAAAAATGCGGTAAATAAACAAATGACTAACCACCCACGTTTAACCGCATTCCCCTTAGATATTTATGTCATTTCTGTGTAGATATACAATTGATCTTATCTATTTTGACTCCATTTGTCTTCTTTGATATCTCAAATAACCTATTTCTAATGATTTTGAAATGTTTACTCTTATGGCATAACGCAATCTGTATGTTGCTGGTGTTTTTTGTTGTTGAATCAACCAAAAACATCTCAAATTTTCTTCCAAACTCATGGCAAATAACTGATTTCCTTACGTATTATTCGTAACTGATTATGCCATCACATTTCACACATTTCTGTTTCTTTAAATTCTGACTACCATGGCAAACGCCGGCTAAGAGAATGAAAAAATGTGTCCTTATTTTGCCAATACTGTGTATTTTTGCTATTTTTTAAATCATGGAAAATTCCCATTGTAACATGTAGAAAATCAAAACAAGTAAGAACACTATCCTGCATAGTTACGAAAAGGCGGTAGTGGAGCAATAAGAAGCGCGATCATTGAACATCTGGTCGATAATGATCACCCTATCTCCATAGCCTCCGCCTTCAAAGTCATCTACAAGGCAGAGAGTAATTTACCCAAATCCCTACGTACCCGATTCATCTGTATTGCTGAAGCTTTGGCTATCGAAACAGAAAAGCCAGATCTCTGTGTACAGAAAAAGTTCTTTCAACCCCTCCAACTTTCATGGTCTTAATCCCTCTATGCTAAAGTATGGTAATCCCCAATCATATTTTAGCTCTACCAATTTTTCATTTTTTCATTTTTGTCTATTCAATTTGTATACTCTTCCTTATTAAGTCAACTGTTACTATTACTACTCTCACTTTTGATTGTCCCCGGTATTATTTCACTTGTTCCACTTGTCATTCTAAATCAATTCCTTTATGCAACATTAAATTCTATGCTATTAAATTTCACACAATATCACGTAACGTTTTTATTTTTTCGATTTTTCTACTAATCTTAAAATTGCACACCCTTTTTCAAGTTCTACCCATCCTATGAATTATTCTATATATGACATTAATTTGCTTTGACACTTGATATTTAACTACGATTATAACCACAAACATTTTAGTTTTAATTGCATTTCATATTATTATTATTATTTTATGCATTCACACCTATGTTTCAATTCCCTCGCCGGATATAACTTCTTAAAAACCATATATATACGATTGTACAGCTTGATGATAAATTCGTTGAAAAGAGTCTCTTCGCTGAATCATTTGTTTTGATTTTCAATACTGTGTATATTTTGATCTGACTACAGTTGAACAGAAACTCCAAAATAAAGTGTTTATTTTCCTATAATTTATGTTCTTCTTGCTCTGATGAAGACGGTCGAAGGAACAGGTTGTATGAAGAATCTCAGCTGAGGTAATCTAATGTCTTAAAGGTCATCTCAAATATGTCCAGATTCAATGTATAGAGGTTGAATAGGTTGTTTATACATTTTATACAACACCGAATTCCTTTTCTAAATTTCCACCTGTGCTTTCTCTTCTAGATTACCACTTCTACGATACTGAACACTTTTTAATGAGTTTTCGGTAGAGTAAGATCAAGACTCTATGGCTTTTGAAAATGATTCGTCGGAAAGGAAACTTCCGCCCCACTCAACCGTCACTTCTTTTGCAAAATAAAATTATATCACAACTTTATAATGCACTTAACGTCCACTTCCATCTGTGATTGATTTGCTATGTGAATTTTGTCATAATGTAGTAGTGAATATTTGAGTAACACTGGGTTTCGAGAATGCAAAGGCAACCAGGAGTTGTTGTTAAATCATGCCCCATCAAGTTATTTCATTTAATGAAGGAAGTATTTATTTCATTTTATCCTGGTACTCTCAAACTGCTTTATCGTGGGTTTTTTGTGAACAAACTTGAAGGCTATAACGGTTTAGTTTACTACTAGAGAGTTATCATTACTAGTACAAGAATGAATTGCATTACTCCCATAATTCTGTGGCACATCTAAGATCGGAGACAAATCTGCTTATCAAAAATGTCTCCAAATAATACATTAAACTTTAATTTGTGTAGCTTACAATAACTTCACTTCGATGAAGTATGTCAGACATACATCATCATGGATATTATTATTGTTCCCTTGGGTACCAAGTGAAAAATAGCGCTTCAGAAACGTTTTTCCACTTTGTTCTGTTCTCTTCTATCCTCTCTAGTTGAGCCCACGTCTGCCCATAATCTCTCATCTCATCTTCACACAATCTCCTTCACTTACCCTTGAACGACCCACTAACCACTTCTTATTAGGATTCTACTTGTGTGATTGCCTGACACGTGATATCATTCGAAGATCACCTCAGTGTGTGCTCTATTCCCCTCCATTTTCTACGAGAGCAGATGGAATAGGTGTGTACTGTCGAAATCCTTATAGAAAACCAAGACGTATTTTATCCTAATCAATGTATTTATATCAATACAGACTCCTATTCATTAAAAAAAGTAGATATCTTAGGGAGCATAATGAATTACATCTATTTTACGATGCCGTTAAACGGTGCAATGCAGTCTAATAGACCAAATCTCATTATGTACGTTTATCTTTCTTTGAAGATTTCGTCATAGATTGTGGATTGACTGTGGTCTGAGCACTTCCGGTAGAAGATGATATTTTGCAAACTCTCTCACACTCTTCTTTAGTGCGAAATCGATTTTTATTTCCACCACAACCACTGTAAGTGAACTCAAGACACTGTTGAGATTTTGAGTCATAGTAGTAGCGTTTATGCTTCTTTGGACAAAATCCCACTTTCTTGGGCAGTGTACAAATGTTCTTTTTACTTTTTGAAGCTAATAAAGAAAGATAATTCATTAAATTGGTTTAAATTAGTAAAAGTTAAATCACAATAAATTCCAGTCAGAAATGCTGTCAGATTACATGGTATATTTAAATATCCTGTTTATTTCAGGAAACTACTCATCTATTCAAATGAACTGTCGTCAAGATTTGACCGAATAGTTCTAAAATATTTGGGCGCCGAGTGAGAAGTAGACATTTGTAAAAAATTATATTTGTAAAATCTCAGCGATATTGAAAATAAGTAATTCCAACGTTTCGTTCGGCAATCTGGTCCGAACTTCTTCAGGGAAATTAATCAAAATTAACATAACAGAGGTTTTATATATAAAAGGCACATCTTTTTAAAAACTCTGTCCAATCATGATTCATAAACACAGGTATTAACAAGTATAATAATTTTGATTAATTTCCCTGAAGAAGTTCGGACCAGATTGCCGAACGAAACGTTGGAATTACTTATTTCAATATCGCTGAGATTTTACAAATATAATTTTTTACAAACTACTCATCTAGTCTAATAAATATCGATCTTTGGATGGACTAAGTGAGTGTATGAGACTTTGATTGCTTGACTCTCTGCAATGAACCTCAAATATAGAAACATGAAATTCATTTATTTCTCTAGGTTGTGTGTAGTTGAAAAGAATCATTGAAATTAATGCATCGGTGTCTACTGGCTCCAGTTAAAGACGTCCTTCTAAGAAGATGAAGGCAGCACAAAAAGCACTGGACTCCAGTACTAGTCACCACTTGTTGTTATCTTGTGAATTTCACTTTCATCAACTTGGATAAATTTGTTTCCGATTTAACTGTGAGAAAGTTGAAATATGACCTAATAATAGCTCAGTCACTGATCTTTCTTGTTGAATTCTATGAGTTCACTGTTTTAGTTGACCGAGCTTAAATTATCCTTCTAGACAACAGTTTTAGGACCAGCTTCGGAATTCTTCATAAATAGAATACTTAAGAAACTGAGACCTTTCTTATAATTGTATTCCTCTGCACTTCAATTGGTCATTTTTCTGAGCTGATATTCAATGCTTTGATCATGTGACACATTCTTTATCGACTATAAAATTATCCATTTTTCTGGAAATCCACATATCAGAAATTTCTCCCGTATTCTCCTCAAGACCGGATTGAACCAGTGTCTTCAACAATTCAAATAATAAGAACACAATATTCAGCGAAGAGACTCTTTTCAACGAATTTATTATCAAGCTGTACAATCGTATATATATATGGTTTTCTATAAAAATTATATCCGGTGAGGGAATTAGGTCAAAGGTGTGAATACATGAAATAATAATTGTATGAAATGCAATCAAAATATTTGTGGTTATAATCATAGTTTAATGTCAAGTGGAACACCTGATCGACTTCTGTCACTCTGTCAACCCTGACTATGATTTTAAGATCATATATAGAATTCATGCTAACTTCCCGCATTTTATTCGTTACAGACTTCTAAAGATAGCTGAGGCCTTGACAATTCATGACTTCAAGCCAGACATTTGTGTACAAAAGAAGTATGTACAATCCCTACTTCTGCCTCGGCCGTGGAGGAATAGACATTTATTGATTTTGTTTATTTAGTTATTCTATGTACTTTTCCCTTATTACTACGATTATTATTATTATCATTATTATTATTACTATTCTCACTCTGTCCCTCCCCCACTTGACCCACTTGTCATTCTAAACCCAAAATTATTAATTTTTATATATTTTAATTTTACAATATTGAATTCTATCTTATCGAATTTCACACCATGTTATGTAACATTTTATATTCGTCTACTAATCTTATAATTCTGTACCCCTTTCCAAAATCTATACACCTTATGTATTATTCTATATGCGACATTAATTATTTTGCCACTTGACATTAAACTATGATTATAACCACAAATATTTTGATTGCATTTCATACAATTATTATTTCATGTATTCACACCTTTGACCTAATTCCCTCACCGGATATAATTTTTATAGAAAACCATATATATACGATTGTACAGCTTGATAATAAATTCGTTGAAAAGAGTCTCTTTGCTGAATATTGTGTTCTTAATGTTACAATGGGAATTATTAAATTCAGATAATATTGGTATACAAGTTATATTAAACGCTATTGAATTGATGTTGTTGCTAATGAAAATTTGATTTGTGTGGCGGGACATTCCATACCATTTTTATTTCTCTAATTCTCATAATGAAGGTTTCACTCAACCAATGAAGAATAATGTCAGTGTAGATTTAGCCAAGAACTAATCCCACCTTTAGGATTTTTGAAATATTTATTTATTTTTGTTTCCACTTAGCATTTCTGTACAAGTATGGAATTCTCAGCATGTGATATTGGCAGCCCAAATTTTTGCAGGCCGACCATTGATATCAGGTGTGTGTCGGCAGGAAGTCGAACCCTGAACCATGTGCATGATCGGCGAGAGTCAAAACCGTTGTGCATCAATGTACGAATACAGGGAGAAATAAACAGCCCTAGTTTAATAATAATATTTTGATAAAGCTATTAGCATTAAATAGTGAAACGTCAGTAAACACAACAATATCGTTTTGTTTTTCATTCATTTGGAAATACAAGAAAAACTTTATTATAATGAATATCACATATCGAATGCCCACATTTTTCCAGACTGTAAAAAGTGAACTTGGTTTGAACATATACAATTTAGATGAGTACCTTTCAGAATTGCACACACATCACCCCATCAGGGATGGGAAACAAGGAAATCAAGTGAAAAGGCCAGCTCGTTGACCAGTAAACCACTCAAGGTAGGAATTCATTTACCCAAGAATTCTGCCTGCTGTCAAATCTTAATACAGCGTTACTGTCAGCAAGTGATATCGGTAATGATCTATTTCACTCTGGATAAGTTAAATGGTCAAAGCGTTAAACACCAGGTCAGAGAAGCTGTCAAAAATAATACAAATCAATAGAAAGACAAGAAAACTTCTTCGGAAAACGAATCCTTATCAAAGTGAGTAGGAGGGCTTTTTATCTCAAAATCTCATTTCAGTCATACTTTCATGGAGATTTTGTTACCTGCAGGAACGATAAAAATATTGAAATATAAAAATAAAATAAAATAAAAAATAAAAAAAAATAAAAAAAAATATTGAATGAAAAATACGCTGCACAGCTAAATTTGAAACCTTTCCATTCAAAAGAAGAAACTCACATTTAGATTCAACCTGAACACTGAACACCAAGCAAATACAAACCAGTAGAGCCGGATATTTGAGAAACATGTTTTCAGCTGTAAGGTGGTTCAGAACAATTATATATATATATATGCCACAGGTTTACAGAATACACCTGAACAAATGCAATTCATTGGACCTCTATTAGACTGACATAAATGACATATTGCAATGAAAGACGTTAAATCGATGCATTCATTAAGTTGATTTTACCGTTTTGGTAAGAGACACTTAAAGTCACTTGAAAACGACCGTGAAGTATTGTCACTCAAGGAAAATCATTTCTTCTGACAATAAAACTTCTTCAAAATATGGTATTGTATTTATTGAGTGTTTTCTAAAATCCTTGTGAATAGATTCCAGAATAGAATTCCAAAGAGTTTTTGAATCAAACTATGCTTCTTCAATTGTGCGTTGAATTAATAATGCTGGTTTGTTTTATGTTTTTTTATGTGTTAGTAATTATTGTTAAGCAGCAGGTATTTGCGTTGTAGCCACTAGTCATTAGATTTAGTCTTGACGATGGATTAGGATACCTGAAGAACTATAATCAATGGGTGATTTTTTTCACTTGATAAACATGGATTGCATGGTTTCTTCTCTTCTCAAAATAATGTTTATGTGAATAACGCCACCATTTTTATTCACTCCTTTCGTATTGAGCGAAACAGTTGGCTTCGGCAACAGATCCACACTGCATGCAATTCTCTCTGTTCACTGTCACCCGTCTCCATTTATTCCCACAAGCTTCCATTTTTCTTCTCATAATCTCCTTAATTCCACCCTCCAAACCACACACCACCCAACTCGTCGCTTTCTTTTCGTATTCCACGAGACAGCGTAGTAAGTGATGTCGTTCAATTGTGTCTTAGACGTTTGACCAGTAAAATTGTATTTCCTTCAACATATTTGTCGGGCGATCGGTTATTGGTTGGTATGTTGCGACGGTTTGGTTTTTCTCCCTAATCATGTAACGACCAAATTTATTCAGTCATGATTTGAACTCACGAAAGCGATCCGTATATTCTACTTTATAGCCGGCAAAATTTCGTTGAGACACGTACTGTCACAAAACATTCCAAACGCAGGAAAAAGACGATCATTCTACAATATTTTAGCGCTTCTATCAGACAATGATTATATTAATACTGAAATTCTCCTCAGCAGTGCCGTAAGACAGTAGTTGTACAGGCCATGTATGTTTCTTAATGCAAAACAAGTACTGCAAGACAAAACTAGTTAACCAAACAACAACTATAAAAGTTACCCTAGAATCAAGGAGAATATTCACAGCGAGGTGAGATCAAAAGCTCTTTAAACAAGAATCACACACACCAAGGCTTCTCGCAGATAGTCCCGGATGGGAATCACCTTCATTCACACTAACAAACTCATATCGTTAAACAGCACATTATCATTGTACACACAACCACACAGAGAAGTATTAATTACAATTAGAGATTATGCAAGGACAGAGGCGATTAACAAAGATGAAAATCAACAATGTGATATGCAAATGTCAAATTAATGTTACAAAGTGTAGGTGAAATTGATATAATAGTTACAAATTTAGTTGGAATGTCTGAATAAGTATAAATATTATAACTAGATAGTGCAGAAGAGATTTTCCAAACAATCTGTCCACAAAAATCCAGTCGGCCAGCTTGTTTTCAATATGGAGTGAAAGCACCCGTTGATTAGGGTCTGAAGAATGTTGCCAGTACCTTCTTATGGAACACTCGTCAAGTCTCTAAACGAGACAAAATCCCTTATTCATTTCACATAGC